AGGGAAATGTTAATTTCTCTGGAAATTATACCATTAACCACAAGAAAATATAGACATCTGACACTTCAAACTAGAACAGATTCGTTGTGACCAGAAGTGACAGCTTTTACTGTACAATTGTTGGATCCACAGATGGACAAATGATTGAAATTATGCAGGGCCTAAGGGAAGTCTGCCTCTAGACTGAACCACATAAAATATTTATGTCCAATGGAGCATTGTAACTACAGATGATGGCATTCCCACAATTGCTCAAGCTGGAAACACAGAGATGAAAAATTTTCTGATGAAAGGCTTAACATAATATTGTATCCTCTGAAAGTTTTTAAATGGGCTAATGAAAGAATTTCAGAGGAATGAACAGTTGGAAGATTTCTAAAACGTCATCACCTACAAATGTCTTTAGATCTAGTGTGACCTTACTCCGTACTCACAGGTCAAAAGAGAAAGTGCTGAAAATGAGTGTTTCTACCCAAAACCACAAACAGGAAGAGAATGCAGGTATGTGGAGTTATGTAGACTTTCACTGAATTATTGTAAACATACTATGAATTATTTGGATAATTATTTTATCAGAAGAATCCTGGCCATGAAAGAGATAAAACTGTAGACTTTTTGTCTCTCACAAAAAATCCTTTAAATGTATCTCTGAATGAAGGAAATATTTTCACATACATTATAAGTACCTCACCATAATTTAATTCAGTTGTTAAAAGTAATCAGTAGTACTTAATATTTAACCTTATGAAATGAGAAGCATGGCTTATAATATTTAAGAAAATGCCTTTTGAGGTTATTGCAACCACACAATCTGAGCTGACTAGAATGTTACAGCTGAAAATCTTTCATGCAGTGACTTTCACAAGCCTGGGACATTGTATATGGTTCAGTTCCCATAGTCAATAGGGCTTTCATCTATCTGTAATGTTAATAGAGTTGGTATCACAATAAGAAAGTGGTACGATGTTCCTGTGGCTTTCCACTCATACTGCCATGACAGCTGGAAACAGATAAGAACTGTCAGAGGAAGGGAATACAGTTGCCTCACCGGTAATGTTGTGCTGGGTTTATGTTACTGATGTTTCATTATATTGGAAGACTGCTCAACTTAACACTGGCAGACAGGCCAGGTTGATTCTGTTAAGTGGTGATCAAGGAGTATTTATTAAGTAGAATTAAAACTTGATGCAGATTCAGAATAGGGATTAATTGCCACAAACAAAAACAAGAGAGATGTCTGCTAGAAGGAAAGAATCACAAGTCCCAAAATCGCACAGGGGTCTTTCCAGCTACATTTATGACACTGGCTGGTCACTAATCCACAATCGTCTCAGGAGTACACTCTCAAATACAATTATGCACACACCAATTTATCAAAGAAGTTGTGAACCACAGGTGTCTCTGATACTGCAAACATCTGAAGTCTCAAACCAGTCTACCTGACAACTCTTCCCTGTTGCCTTGACAACAGGAGGCAAGCGGGCATGGATTATGTTGCCTAAGCAAAAGAATCTTAAAAAAAAAAAAAAAAAAAGAAAGAAAGAAAAAAGGACCTTAAGCTGTGGCTATGGCAAAGGATAAAAATTCAAGGCAGTAGTCAAGACTTCAGTCCTCTAAGTCAGAGACACAGATATTTACATTAAAGAATCAGTAATTAATCTATTAATTAACAATTATTTGTGGACTGGCACCTATGTGCAATATACTGTGTCCTGCAGGAAAGCAAAGATCAACTAGACATAGTTTGGCATATGCCAGGTACAAAGTAATATTGAATAAATGAATATTCTTTCTTTCCTTCCTTTCTTTTTCTTTTTTTGAGATGGAATCTCACTATGCTGCCCAGGCTGGTGTTTAACTCAGGCTCTCAAGGGATACTCTTGCCCCAGCCTTCCAAGCAGCAGAAACTACAAGCATGCACCATTGCACCTGGCTCAAATGACTATTCTTTAGAAAGTCATTATGCAATGGCCAAAGCCTACTAGGTCCTAAGTGTGATAGTTAGAGGCTGAAATGCCTAAGTGCAATAACAAATTTCACTACACAGAATAATTTAAGCTGTAACAAAATGCTGTATCTTATGGGATATTACAACTGCCAGTGTACAAGTATATGGGGTCAGCCTGTAAAGCCCGTATAGGAACTGGTGAACAGTCAAGCCCACCTCTTAATTCATTGCTTGCAAATGGTATCAAATTTGAAAGTGACTAAAATTTCAAAGAAATTAGGGGTTGATCCTCTTGTGGCCTTGCTATTAATATTTCTGAAAAAAATCTGATGCTGGCTTGGATCACCCAGAGGACCTTCAGTTCTAATGTGTTTGCTTTCACCTTCAAGCTTCGGCTTTCCTTTGAGGAGGAAGAAATTGTCCTTTCTAGCTCTGTTTGCTCATGCTTTACCCATTTGCCTGCTTCATTTGCCCAAGAAAGCTTATCCCAGCTTATTAGGGAAATGCTTCATTCTTCAGCAGACAATTAGTTGGTTAACATCTGGCTCCTTATGTTTGGGGGATGGCCAAAGTTGAGAAATTATGCCTCAGCTTTCTCTCTGCACTATTTAGCCACTGCCAAGTCTGAATTTTAAGCTCTGAAAGCTATGCTTAGGCAAAACATGCATTTCCATGTAGTCTCTGTTTATTGTAAAGAGCCAATAAGGGTCTGCAAGAGGGAGTGCTGCCCAGGGACTCTGTGTAACTGTCATACTATTTCACACATGGCACTGAATAGCCAAAAAAACCTCTGCAGGTTCAGTTTTCAATTTATTTTTACTCTTATGTAACATTGCTATCTTCTTTTATATTCAAATTTGTGATTTAGCTTCTAAATATTTTTATAGGATGAGTTTCCAAGGAACGCATGGAAATCCTAAACAAATTACATTGAAAACAACTTTAGCTTTATTTAAAACCTTTCAAATAATTATAAATATATTTTAGAGATGTCTTCTTTTAATTCAGAGAAGCTTTGGGGATCACCTGGAAAGAAGTCAAAAAGTTATTAAATTGCTCTCCTCTTTTTTTTCTTCTAAATTCTTCTCTTGTCTTGCCTTTCACTGTTATTTGAGGGAAGAAAGCTTGTCTTAAGCCAACCTGAGTTTCCAGATGGCAGGTCACTTTACGTCTACCACATATGTGGCACAGCTATGCAAACCAAGTCTGTCTACCCTGGAACATGCTTTCCGAAGCATCAGCCTCAGTGTACTGGCCACCTCCCATCTGTTGAAATGTTCACAAACTGCCATGTGATAGTGGCTCACGCCTGTAATCCTAGCTATTCAGGAGGCAGAGATCGGGAGGATCACAACTTGAAGCCAGTCCAGGCAAATAGTTCGCAAGACCCTATCTTGAAAATACTCAACAGGGAAAAGGGCAGATGGAGTGGTTCAAGTGGTAGAGCACCTGCCTAGCAAGTGTGAGGCCCTGAATTCAAACCCCAGTGCCGCCAAAAAAAAAAAAAAATTCACAAACCAAGTTCAAGCCCCACTATATAATATCCCTGCTTCCAATTGAGCATCTCCTATCTGTTATTTCTAGTTCACCCAATTTTGCTATAAAATGCTTAACTAATTCCTAGCATTTGAAAAGCCATCTCAAGATCTAAAAATACATGGTACATATGTTTCTATTTTTGAAAGGCTGAATACCAACTGAACTCTTGCAAATAAGAAAATTTTCTATGGATCCATTGAAGAGCAGAATTATTTTACACTGCCAAGATCATGAAACCCATCTAATTGTAAGTTTCCACTTTAATATAAAGCCCTTTTAACTGGGGAGCATAGCTTTTGTAATGCCAATAGACTGGCATCACCACTTATATGCGTCCCATCCTTAACTGGTGTCCTAGCTTTGGCAGACCCTCCACCTGTCTCTGCTCAGTTCCTTTCCCTTCTCTATACTGGTTGTTTATGGCTGACTAAACTTCTGAATCTAGACAGTCCTCTCACAGTGACCTAGAACATCACCTAATAAATAAACACCTTCTCTCAACTTCACTATCTTAATTAGATCTTTATCTCTCTTTCTCCAAACAGAGAGAAACCTAAGCACCTCTTCTATTTTTTCCAGGCCTACTCTTCTGGCTCCAAGCTACTCTATGATCATACAGTGTTAATTACCTCTTTCCCTCTCTAATCTCTCCTGTCCATTGGCTTCTTCACCACAGTCCCTAATGCCCTGAACTCATCATGATTCTTGGAGCCCTTTTTCAATTAGACATACCCCATAAGCTAACTCCCTAAGCTCATTCCTCACTTTCTTCATCTGTCTCTGCCTCCTGCCTCTGGAATTTCTAAGACTACCACCGTCATCCTGCTTCCTCCATCCTCACCCAGTGCCAATGTACCTGTTCTCACAATGGCTACCAGGAACTTGCAAAAGCCCAAATCTAATACTTTTGTTCCAGTCCTTACCCCAAAAGATAATTGATATTGACATGACTAGGTGTCCCACAATAATTTCTCCTTGCTTATAAAAGGGAATAAATACCCCATATAGAGCCCATCATCCTTGCAGCTAGATGTGGTCATATGAAGAAGTTCTGGCCCAATTTATGTGAGCAGAATGTAAATGAGAAGTCATGAGCACAACATCTGGGTCATAGCCTTAAAATGAAAGGTGTGTCTCCAGTTCCACCTTTGCTTTTCTTGGCCACATTTGCCTTGAGGATGAGATGCATACCTTGAGGATATGGAGAAACAGGCTTTAAGAAGCCAGATGACCTCATGGAGCACAACTCACCCAGTTAAGCTCAGAGAGACTTAGAGGCTAAAGGCAACAAAGGTAGACAAAGGCAGAACTAGACTAAAACCCAGTCCAAGCTTAGCACTTGTTCCAGCATGCTACTTGGTAAGTTGCTCGTTTCTGGGAGAGTATTAGGTCCTAACTGCCTCTGTTTCCACATGGCAATGGAGACTTCTGGCAATCATGTTTCAACTTAGCCATGAAAGTGCTCAGTTCTGCAAAGTCTAAAAATATCTCTAGAAGTTCAATTTATACATACCTTGTTTGTGATTGTCTGTCTCCCCCAGAAGCACTGAAGCTTCTCTTTAAAATGCCTGAAGCAAAAAAGTAAGAATAACCTTATATTATTTCCTCTGGAAATCTTTTTTTAATGTTACATTTCTGTTATCTAAGCGAGTATATATATTGTAAACATCAGCTTTGATCATGAAACTATCAGTCCAAATATGTTGACAAAGTTGTTTGTCTTTTTTCAAAGAAAATATAATAAACAAAAATTGCTATTAACAGTTAACAAAACACAGTAGTATGTCTATGTCATAGTTATCCTAAAATCTTTGCCAAGATAGCTACATGTTCCCCCAAACAAATTTAAGGGCCTAGGTTCTTCTTTTCACTTCCCTAGTGCTCCTCCCCACTGTCGCTACCAGGGGTAAAACAACACTGAACTCATCTCCAGAGTCTAGAATTTGCTAGACATGTTTAAATGCATGAACATGTTTAAGTACATGAAAAGCTTTTCCTGGGTGGTATTCAAGTCTTCCCAGTTGAAAATCAAGACATTTTACATATCAGGCAGAAACTAACAGGAAATATAGGACAGAGAATTGTCCCACAAAATCTGGGTGGGTGACCTAGTCACCATTTTCACAGGCCAATTATGTATAAAAAAGGCAAAGAATGCAGCTAAATTCTTACGATTCTACTTTGCAGTAGGATTACTTTAGCAATCCTATTTTAATTCTCCTTTTTTGAGATTTTCATAGGATAGTTTCTGAGGAGAAAATTATTTATACTTAATTTATTTCAGAGTATCTTGATAAGATTTATATTCTATCAATTTACTCTTTTAAAATAATTATTTTTCCCATTTTATATTTTAACAGCTCTTTTTCTTTTCATTTCAGGATAGTTTAGTGTGTTTGATGCTGTTTTTCCACATAATCTTTAAATTCTATATAAATATACCTTTTCCTTTTCTTTCCCATTCCTCAGTATGGCTATTTTTTTTCTTGTTTTAAATTAAGATGAACATGGCTGGATCTATATACCATATCTTTTCATAGTTCTAAAAACGAAGATATTTCTTTTACTTTAGCCTTTCAAATATAATGCACTGCTTCACATTAATGTAAATAAAACTGTACAATAATTAGCCTACACCAAGGCTAATTTCTTTCTAATCCCTCTGACAAACAGACTCACAAAAGGTCACTCTGTCATTCCTCTGGTTATTTAGGTGTCTCCAAATTGGTTTTCTCAGCTCCCCAGTTAGAACCTGAATTTGCTGATAGAAATAATGAAAGCTGAGGAAATAGGGAACCCGGTGTTGACTAGCCTTTGAGCTCTGTCAGTGAGACAAATACACCTGCCACAATTAGCACTGCAACTGGAACACAACCCTCCAGTATATCTATGGTATGACCCCCTAGCCACTACCTTCTGGAATCCCAGAAATGGCAAACATGTAAAGAAAGCTTACTGAATGTAGACTCTTTCAAGGGACTGGAACTGGAGCTACTGGTGTTATCCAAGATATCCAATTCATCATCCAGCTCTGAATATATATCTGCACATTAATAAAAATAAAAATGCAGATGAGCCTTGAAAATGAAAGGAGTCAAGAGTGCATTCATGCTAACACCCTGCACCAGAAATACCTTTCTCGATACTCTCCAGGTGGAAGTTGTCATCTGACAGCATTTCCTCACAGGCTCTGTCTTCGTCCTTCACATAGGGAGGCTGAAAGCTTTCTGGGGGCAGGTCTGTGTTCTCTGAAAGCTCACTTTTCAGGCTAGCTGCACCACTGCTGCTGCTACTCAAGCTTGCCTTTTCAAAGGTTTCCTGGAAAGAGAAATTCAATTTTTAAGCCTCTTTCACTTGTCTTCCCTTTGCAGCACCCAAAGCTTGTTAAAAGGAATACTGAAATGATAAAACATTGCTATAAATATTTAATGCAGTCTGTATCTGCTATGAGGTCCATTTAAACCATAAACACAAAAAAGTAGGACTGTAAGCTACCACTGGTGGAAAATGACTGGAGGTGGCAAGAGTGCCTTGTAGCAAAGGCCTGTACAATCTGGGGAAATATGTTGAACCTCTAAGGAATAGACCATGTATCAATTTAGTTTTTTCTAAAATACTTGATATGGGATCTGCTCAGCACCATAGTAGATGAGGCTTATTTTCTTCAAAGTTTAAAAAAAAAAGTGAGTAGCAGACAAAGCCAGGCCACGGAGAGTAAGAGATAATATCCCCTAAAAGATGAGGCCTCTCATACTACTTAGGACCTTGGGTACAGCCAGTCTCTCTCTCTCACAAAACAAGTCACAGTTGCCTCCAGAACTCTCTAAAATGAATGGGACCATTCCCATTATGATACCAGCCCAAGGTCATCCAGCCACTGTCTTAATAGAAACTATAAAAAAGTATGATTAAGTATGATCAATGAAAATAAAGAAAAAAAGATTAATGCTATGAGAGGTTGGAAGCTCTGGTTTTCCCAACAAGAAGACACATGGCGGGGAGGAAAGGAGCTTCTATATATGATTCGGAAGAACCCCTTCTTTATTTCTTTACCCAGATAACTCTCACTGCCTAAGAAAGTCATTGTATGGCCTGTTTGCAAAGGTGAAGAGCCACCTTAGGATGTGGGGATAGTACTGACAAACCTAAGGTGCAGATCAGGGAGACAAAAAGAATACACATGAGTGAAGACAGGATCACAGATGTGGAGAGAAAGCAAAGGCTGCCTTTATAGAAGGGGGAGACTTCCTGTCACTAATTGTCAGACTGTTTAGTCACACATCAATCACCCATTCTTTACCAAAAGGCTCCTATGATTAACAAAGTCCACTAGAGAGATTAGTTTGTGTTTATCTACTTATTTTTCTCTTACAACTAAAATGACATCCACAGCTTCAATGGGCAAGTTCATAGGAACTCTCTGGTGGTAAAATTTACAGATGAAGGAAAGCTTACGATCCCATGGATAAGCAGAATCAGAAGCAAACTTACAAATGCTTTCATGTGTTTATGTCCGCTACACAAGATGAAAAATAAAAAGAATATTGAAACGTTTTGTGAATTGCAAACCATACATTCAATTGCTGTTTATTATCTCTTTCTCCTGAGAATGTTTTCATTGTTCTTTCTTCAAAGTTTCACCAAGTTTCTTGTTTTGTTAAAGTGAATTGACTAGTCCTCCATTCAATGTTCAAAGGACTCAGAATTGGTAATTCCTGCTTTTTGGGTCTACCCTTCTCTGCTAGCTTAGAACTGAATAGGGAAACACTCTGGACATGTGTGATAAGAGGTGAATTAGAGGTGAATGTGTACTGCTCACAAATTCCCCAATGTCTAAAGGCAGTGAGGGACTTCTGATGTCAGCCTCATTTCTGCCCATACCTAGTCCCACACCAAATCCATAAGCTCTTTCTAAGGCCCAAAACTTTACTGCAAGACTCATCAACCTCTTCATCCTTTTCTATTGCAACCCACAGAATTCTTCTTCCTCTAACTATCCTTAGTTGAAATCTTTTTGAAATTTACATAGAAATAAATACCTAATTGAGGGCCTTCTCCTTATTACCTTTTTTAAAGTCTAAATAAGTCATCTCTTGCCCTATTTCAAAGACCATAATTGGCATTTCCAACCCTCTAAGGACTATCCATCCAAGATGTGTCAGTGCTGCCAATGTTGAATAGAGACAAGAGAGAATTTTTGAGTTAAGGAAACTTTATTGTATAGACACAATTAGATGTGAGAATCCATATAGCTCTAAAACTAGCAAGACTTTGGCAAAATTTTTGTCTCTTTAATGAACTGGCCTAGATAAGAAATCAGAGGAAGATATTTTTCTATGAACAACTGAAGAATGAGAAGTTGTGAGCTTTGACTCAGGCAACTCTAGACTTAAGGGGGCTTGACTTGCAACCAATACCGAAGAACTACTGGGTTATAAATCAATAATCATTTGCAACTGCCAAAATTATATCCACAGGTAGCTTGGAGTTTTCATAAATTCTGATGAGGGAGAACTCACAAATCTGATAAAGATGCTTTTTCAGATTCTATAAACATGTGTGACATGGTGGGAATGTGTAATTGCTTGGGTTTTAAAACTTACACTTCTATAATAACCTCTTACTACAGTTTTTGCTTCAAATAAATCAACATTGTTTTGTCCATGCTATATATAAGCTATATGCCACTTGCAGGCACATTTCCTCTAAGGTGATTTTAGTTTTTCATTGTGAATCCCTAACTCTTTACTCAATCACTCCTTGCAAAACTGAGAGTTATTTTAGTTCCTTTTAAACTCCTCAGCGCCTTGCACGATGTCTTAAACATATCAAGTGGTCAATAGATAATACTGCATTGAGATTAAAAGGAGAAGAAAGAAAGGCAGGTGAGGCCTCTTACAGAATGGGTGGGTTTTATAACATCTATGTATGTTTTTAATCTTGCCCTTTTATCTAAGAGCTCATACAGTGAAGTTTCTTTAATGGCCTTAGGGTGATGCATCTGTGAGTGAAACTGGACTTCTCCATTCTTTTCCCCTTTTTAACTTGGGAGAAATCGTAAAGCTCATCTGTATTAGAGACAACCAGTCTAGCAATGACAATGTACTCTTACAACCCAATGGACACTGGCCAAAGGCAGAGGCTGATTGGTCATTTTTACTCTAAAAGTTAAGACCATTAAGATGTGCTCAGAAAACACTTCTAAGAAGTATATATGCCTATATAAAGGGGGATTTAAGTTTTAAAATATACAGCTTTGGGGAATGGATTTGGCTGCTATCATGTTTTTCATTTTCTTATTATTTAAGACTTTCCAAAAAGTGGGAGGAGTTAACTAGATTTTTCTTCTTTTTGCATCTGCATCTCCTAGGAATGGAAGGACATGTTGTGAGCATCAATATGGAGCAAGAAGAAAACAAAGCAAATCAGACAATAAAATCTCACTGATAAGAAAATCACCACCATTACAGAAGATACTTCCTATCTCAGTGCTGGTATAGGCACAATTAGGTTTAGCTCAGTTTTGCTCATTATAATGTAATTTTATGTGTTCAGAGATCAGAATACATTTTTAGTTGAATAGTAATTCTTATGGTAACAGACTGACATTTCCCAAATTAACTGTGACAGTAGGAAACCTAGAGAACCCATTTCATTAAAACTAAGTGCAAGTTTTTAAAATGCCCAGAATGCTAATTTATAAGGAGAGAGGGAAAGAAAAGCAAGAAATGAATATAAAGCATAATACCATCTGTATCCTAATTTCTTTAGAACCATAAAAATGCACCATTTCTTTTGTATTCTGAAGTATTCATGTTCTGCTGCCTAAATCTTTAGAAATGTCTTCATCTGTTTAGTTAATAACTGCCCTTAGATACAAAAATTTAGAGATACTAGATGATTGACAGAAATTCATCTGGCTGAAGTGATCTTTTATCAGTGACAAGCCACATTCTATGCTTTTCTTGGGTAGTAGAACAAAAAATTCAAAATAGGAGACATTGACTGTGTTCTACTGTACATGAACTTAGTTCTTAAATTTCAAAGTATTTTTTTAAAACCGAGCAGTGGTCAGATCACTACAGGGACCACATAGACTAAGCCACAGCTGAGTACACTGCCCATTTCAGCAGGTGCAATGAGGGGCTCTTCTCCAGGCCTCCTTCTGGGAACCTTGACTTTGCCCCATCTGAGAGGTGAACTGATGAAAGAAGCCTGGGGCCTGGCCCCTCCCTGTGGTAGACAGAAATTGTTTGGCTCCAAAGTCATTCAGATGACACCACTATCTAATTTCATTTGTGAATCCTGAAGTATTTCTCCTCTCCCATGCTCCCCATATCAATTAGAACATTGGTTAAAATTACACTAGAAAAATTGGTGTTTGGGGCCACTACAAACAGCTAAATTTATCAGGATTGTATAATAAAGGAAAATTCTTTTTAAGTTTGGATCTCATTTTTTTGTTTCACAATATATTTAGCAAAAATATTCCAATCTAAAAATCCATTAGCAAATTTACCTCTGTTTAAAATGTATCTCTGCTACCCCATTACTAAGCTAGTATCAAAATGCATGGATTCTCTATCATTCCTAACATGAGTACAGGTTCTTTAGAAGTAATGACACTAATAGAGAGAATAGTGATGGAATCTGAAGTATCATTTGTTAAAAATACTTAAGATACAGTCTACACCAGCATTACTGACTACCATGTTGTTCTGAGCCTGCAAGTTAACAGGTGAACAGATGTGAATGTACATGTCAATCTTGCCAAAAGCGTTTCTAATGAGGCCAGAATCAGGCAACTTTCCTTAATACATAAAAAAAACAATGCACAGAGACCATCAAATGAGAAAGTTTTAAGATATTCTAACTTGAATTTCTCAAAAACAAGAAATACAAGGGAAAACCAGTAATGCTGAAGGCATTAAAGAGTGTGGCATGGGTGGAGTCAACATAAATTAACTCCACAAATTAGACTCCCACTCACTGTCCCATTGAACACAGAATTCCATAAGGCAAGGTCAAGTTTTTGCTAAACTGCACGCTTCTCACATGATGTCAAAATACTAAATGCATTAAGTACCAGTAAAGAAGAAAAATAGTCATCATCATACTTTTGCTAAGACCACTTCAGTCTACTCTTAACCAATATCCCTGCTTCCACTCTTGGCTCTCAGGTGTCTATTCTTTTTTTTTTTTTTTT